ACCGAGGAGGCTGGTTCTTTGGGAACAACCGCTGACTCAGTCCTGACTTGGCCCAGCTGTGGGCAGTGGGCAGTACATTTGCAGAGAGTGCTGCCTGACCTCTTCCTGGGCCCAGGCTCTTCACTGCTTGCCAGTAAAGCAGGTGTTAAGCTGCAATTCCCCAAAACTCAGAGGTTAAAACCCAATCTCAGGACCTATGGACGTGGTTGCATTTGGAGATCTAAATGTAAGTGTTAAGCCATACAATTTCTAGAAGGAAAGAAAAAATGTTTATAATTTGGGGTTGGGCAAAATGTCTTAAATACCACAACCAAATTGTGATCTACAAAACAAAAAAATATATAAACTGTATATCACCAAAATTAAAATTTTGTATTTCAAATATTAAGTGCACTATTAAGGAAATGAATAGTCAAGCCACAGAATGGGAGAAAATATTTGCAAATCAAATATCTGATGCAATATTTGTACCCAGAATATAGAAAAATGCTTACAACTTTAATAAAACAGACCAATTAAAAATGAGCAGAAAATTTGAATAAACATATTGCCAAAGAAGATATATAAATGGCTAATGAACACAGGAAAAGATGATCAACATTAATCATTAAATACATACAAATCATTTTTCCAACAATAAAATACTTTATGTCCACTATGATGGTGTTATGGTTTGGACTTGAAATGTCCCCAAAACTCACGCACTATACTTAGTTGGCAGATGACAGGGTTTTGGGAGAAGTGATTGGATCGAGAGGGCTCTAACCTCATCAAGTGGATGAATCCACTGATAAGATTGATGGCATTATTGGAAGCTAATGGAAACAAGAGATGGGACCTGGTCAAAGGGGGTGGTCATGGGGGTGTGACCTTGGGGACTATATCCGGGCCCCATCTTCTTCCTCTTGGGCTTTTTCCTTTTCTTTTTCTGTCTCTTAGCAGCCATGACGTGGAGAGCTCTGCCCCATCACACACTCTCCACCATGACGCTCGGCTTCACAACTGGCCCAGAAGTAATGGAGCCAAGAGACCATGGACTGAAGCCACTGAAACCATGAGCCAAATAGCATATGTTGGCAAGAAGGGGGAAGATTCAGATCTTTATATATTGCTGGTGGGGATGCAAAATGGTAGAGACTTTGAAAAATATTTTGAGAGCATCTTAAAAAACAAAACAAACCCAGTACAAGAGAAATGAAAGCAAATAGGCACAGAAACACATGTGTGAGTGTTCAGAGCAGCATTATTCAAGATGATAAGCCCATCTGAAAATAACCCTAATGTAACCCTAACAACCCTAAACTCTCCATCAGCTGGTGAGTGGATAAAAAGAATGTACATTCATACAATAACACATCATTCAGCCTCCAAGGACACACTTCTGATACACACAAAAACAGGAGCAGACCTCAGAAACCTCAGGCCATGTGAAAGAAGCCCGACACGAAAGACTAGTCAGCATGCTATTCCATTTATCTGCAATCTCTGGAAAAGGCGAATTCACAGAGACAGAATGAGCACCAGTGGGCTGGAGCTGGGACTGGGGACTCTCCACAAATGGGCACAGAGGAAGTTTTTAGGGGTGACAGAAATGTCCTAAAACTGGATTATAATGATAGTTCTATAAATCTATAAACTTACTAAAAATCATTGATTCATGCACTCAGATTAGGTGAATTTTATCATAAAATTTACATATCAATAAAGCTGTTAAGTTCGTAAACAGAGAACACTATAATAATCACGATGTGTTGGAACTTTACTGTCCCCCAAGGGCCATGTGTTAAAGGCTGGGTCCCAAGGGAGCACAGCTGGGAGGTGCTGGGAAGGGAGCAGATTGTGCTCCCTTCTCCTTCCTCTCATTCTCTTCCTGGCCACATGGTGAGCATTTTGTGTTCTGCATGATGCACGGCCTCTCCACAAGCCCAAAGCAACAGTGCCAATGGATCATGGGCAAGAGTGAAGACTGGGAGATATAAGAAACCCTCTTTTGTTATAAGTTTCTGATGTCAGGTATTTTGTTATAGTGACAGTCACACATTATAGTCACAGTCACAAGCGCTACACAGAAATGTGAGTCAGGAAGAAGCACAGGAAAGTTGGGGTGGGGTAGCAGTGGGTAGCAGTCATGGCTGTGGTTACTGGTGCCACCATCCTGCCCCCCTGGACACATGCTGGGACTGTACCTCCTGGACCCTTGTGGGTAGTTGGGGAAGTGATTGTCATGAGTCATAGTTGCACACAGAGTGTGACATGAGCTGTTCCAGGCCGAGGATTTCTCTGCCAGTCTGAGACCCTTCCAGAGCTCACCCTTGGGCCTCCAGCCTGGTAGCCATGGGCTCTGAGCCAGGCTCTGAGTCACTGTGATGGTCAAGATGCAGCCCTTTACCCTGCCCAGGCGACCCAAGACAGGTGACTGTGTGACCTGCCCTGTTCTCCTAGCCTCAGCAGAAGGGAGTGCAGGGCAAACATGGCCAGGAGGTGAATTTGTGAGCCAGGGGCTGTCTGGAGAATTGGTCCAGAGTTAGGCAGCGCATCCGAAAGCCTGGCACTTCAGCCAGTGTGGCTGGGGCGGAGCTTGAGGAGCCAGTCAGGAGGCCATATGCCAGCCCTGAGGGATGCCTGGAGGAGGGCGGGAAGAACAGTGGAGAAGCAGCAAGTGGCATGGAAACTCATAAGGAGGCATGGAGCGAGGGACTGTCAAGAGGATCTCGAGTTTGAGCTCAGCCTAGGTAACTTTGCGACTGAGTGAGACTGCGTCACAAAAGAAAAAATAAAAAAGGGCTGAGGACATTGCCCAGTGGGAAGGCCCTGGGTTCAATCCCCAGGATGGCAAAAACTCAAAAAAAAATCCAGATGAGGGCTGTGTCACACCCTGCTGCCATGCTATTCTTCTATGTACAACTGTGATCAGATCAGTCCTGTTTATAACTCTCCATAGCTCCCTACTACCCATGAGAAAGAGCCCAGGATTCCCAACATGCCACCCACCTACCTTCCCTCTCTTATTCCCCTTCCGACTGCTCCAGGCCCCCTCCCCTGGGTCTCCTGCTCCCCAGGACAGAGTCTTGCCTCCCTGCCTTGGCCATCCCACTTTGTGCAGAAGTGAAGGACAAGGCACAGGGCAGGGTGTGACAGGTGTCCCTGTTCCAAGCTGCCCCGGCCTTGGTCCTGAAGTTGGCTTGTGGCCAGGGACTTGGGAGCTGAATTTGGCTCCCAAGTGGGGAAGATTTGGAGGGGCTGGATTTGGAGCGGCCCTCTCCTCTTTTGGGGAATGGGCCTAGGCTGCTAGTGTACATACCAGGAGGACTCAGCTATGCAGTGGCTCCTGGTGTGTGTGGGTGGAGTGTGTTGCTCAGGATAGCGAGCCACAGGGAGAAACCATGATTCTGGGGAAAGGGCCAGGCAGATCAGTGGCCAGAGGTTTAGGGAGATGGTGAGAAAAGATGATGCATTGGGTATGAAGTGGCAGGAAAATTCTTTGGGAAAACAGGTTGGTTCCACAGTGAGGGAGCCATGGGTGGTGCCATTGCTGTATAAGGGTTTTAGCATAGCCCATGAGTGAGGGACCTGGCTGGCATCTGGCTTCCTGGTAAAAGGATAGTTCTGGAAGGTTCTGGAAGGTTCTGGAAGGTTCTTGACTTGGCACAATGGTGGGCAAAGTGAAGAAGTGAGGTATAGCAGTACAATTCAGCTTCCAAGAACCTTCTGTTCACCTTTAACTCCCTGAAAATGTCCAAGACAAAGTCTAGATCCTCACAAATCACCTCAGCTGATAGAAAAAGAGGAAAAAGGAGAGGCAGAGAGAGAAGGGTGTCCCCCAGGAGACCAAGGATGGGGGAGAAGCTGCCTCTCCCAGCCTGGCTGGCTCCCTTCCCCTCTGAAGAGCTTTCTGACATGGCATGGCTATTTTTATGACACTGCCAAAGTGTGTGAGATCAAATAATCCCTACACATTAACCCAGCCAAGAGAAATGATGTACGTGCTGTAGTGTGGATGAGTTTTAAAACACACTGAAAACCAAGGGGCTCAAGGGGACACAGAGTGCCTGATCTCACAGATAAGACACCCATAGAGTCCGAAGACAGGTTGGTGACTGGCAGGTGCTGGGGAGGGGGGTGAGGGAATATTGCTCACTGGGGACTGGGGGAGGAGGTGAGGATGTTCCCCAACTAGATAGAGGTGGCGCTCACGCATAATTGAGCATGGATGAATTCCACTGAAGTGCAAATTTCAAAGTGGTTCATTTTATGTTATGTGAATTTCATTGCAATAAAAAATTACTTCCTGGCCCTCACTACACAGCACGCTCATCTGGAACCCACCCAAGCCCCATTCAGCCCGAATCTCCAAGGAGAAGCCTAGGAAATTTCCACAGCTCTTCAGTGATCCCAGCAAGGAGCAGGGTGTGGACCACTGACCTATTCCCTCTCCTGCCCCGCAGCAGCTGGATTGTGCTCACACACCATCATTGGAGGACCGACTGGACCAGCGCCTTTCTGCCTGTGAGGTGGCCACACCTCAGCCAGCACCTGCTCTGCTCCAGCCGCACAGCACTCTCACAGTCGCCTCCCAGTCACTTACTGGCGCCCTGACCCTTCCTCCTTGTAGCTGAACCAACTGCTTAGCTACATGGTTTTTAAGCAGGGACACAGCATCCCCAGGACCCTCAGGCCTCCCCTCAAAGCCCCTGCCTCCCACCCCAGCAGTGGATGGATGCTACAATCCTAAAAACTGAGTGTCATCAGAGCCCAGTGGCCCTGACAGTCCCAGTCACGAGGACGCCTATTTTGAGGTAGACACAGAGCAGCTGCCCCAGTTCAGGGGTGAGTGCTGGGCACCAGCCAGCACCCGGGAGCTGAAGTGGCCGGGACCCTGACCACGAATGCTGCTTGGTGCCCTCAGCCACAGGACCAAGGGGGCTCCTTTGGCAACCATGGATGACCCTGTGGCCCAAGGAAAAAGTCAAGTGTGAAGGCAATGAAAATAAGGTTCTTACTGAAATATCTGGCCGCGAAGGTTCTCCTTCTGCTGGAAGCGGTCGGCAGCATAATGGAGCTGGCAGTCTGCACAGATTTCTTCTATATCCTTTTTATAAGAGCGCCAACCACATCCTCAAGCAGACAAGCTAATTCCTGTTTTTCAGTAACAGGAGATCAACATCTATAGAAAAGAAATATATTTAGAATGCCCTTTATCTGGTGTTTTTTTGGATTTCAAGTAAGAAGCCTGCTAGAGGAAAGAGTGCCTGACAGATAGTGTGCCCAGGAACTTGGGATGACTTTGGGGACACCAAGGGGCTTTGGGGAAGTCATTAGTTCCTCAAATCTGTAAAATGGGAACAATACTGACAGCTGCTGCTCAGAGCAAACAGACGCCGGTGTCAGCGGAAGGGAGAGGCTTGGCCAGTGGCAAAGTCTGTGGCTCTTGTCTGCCGTTAGGCATTTTTTTTTCCCAATTGGCTGTCCTGGGTTTATTTAGGGAGCTGTGTTTCCAGAAAGCCTGGAAAACAGCAGAGTGCCATGCTGCTTCCTGTTTGCATTGGGAGCCTCCTCTGAGGCACAGCAGCCCCGTGACAGGGACAGCAGGACATGGTCCCCTGAATGGGTGCAGGGTAAAGCCAGGGGGAGCTTCCACCCAGCACCAGGCAGTGTCAGCATCTCCCCACCTGACATTTAGCATCATCAGAGCATAAGTTATTGTCATGGGAAATCAAAAAGCAAAACCTCAGCTGTGGAATAGCCAGGTGACATTTATGTAGTCATCATCACTGACTGTCCTGGAACTGTAAGGCAAGGCCACTTCAAGCAGCAAGGCCAGTGTCACCATGTAGATACACACAGTGTCTGCAAAAGCCAAGCAGCTCCCGGGGGGACACGCCCCATCTTCTTCCTGCTCCCGCCTCCCCACCTTTGCCGTACGGAGCCTAAAACCATCACTGTCAGAAAGACACAATAAACTGCTACTGTTTTAAAGACAGAACAAGCAGAGCCAGCACTCATTGTGGTGGCTCCTTCTGGCTTGGCTGTGAGGGGCCAGGGATTATGTGGGTGTCACATCACAGGAGGGCAGAGCAGGCTGTGGGCTACTGGACAGGGCTCAGTGGCTGTCTTGGAGCTGTGTGCTCTTGGCCCAGGCCTTGTGGGTTTCGGGACAGCTCTTGCCTAGAGGACTCTGGCAAGCAGAGGGGATGGGGCCAGCCTGTGCCTCTGGGGAGTGATCTGGGGCCACCAAAAGCAGAAGGCACCAGTGTGCTAAGTGCTACTTCTAGAAGAGCCTAGCTCAAGAAGCCAGCTTGTCCAGCATGCGAACACAGAGGGGAGCCCAGGAATGGAGGCAAAGACTGGGCTGAGTGGAGAGCTGGAGGACTCAAACATCAGCCCAGAACCTCGAAGCCAGGACAGACCCAGAGCAACATGTCTCTGTGTTCCTTAAGCACCAGGGCTGGTGCAATGCCATGACCCTGAGTACCAGGAGGGTTAGAATTAATACTCAAGCTTCAAGGTTAGGTTTCTCCTTTTTTAGTGTGAATTGAAACATGAGTCAGATTTAGCAAATAAAAATGCAGCATGCCCAGCTAATTTTGTGTTACAAGTATGTTCCAAATATTGCCTGGATACACTCTCTGCCATAGAGGCACCCATGGGTCATCTGAAGCACTGTTCAGGTTTAATGGGCTGCCCTTGGTTTTATTTGGCAAACTTACACCTTCTGAGTACCTGTTTTCTCTTTGGTCAAGAGAGTATACAGGCTAGGATCTTTCAGTTGTGGAAAACAAACAAACAAAAAGCCAGCTAAAATTGACTTCAAAGATAGGGGATTTATTAACTTTTAGCAGGAAAGCCCTTCCTCACAATATTCAGGTTTCAAGCATGCCTGGATCCAGCTGTTTAGCACTGTGTTTCATCATATCTGTGTTGTTTTTTTTTTTATAGTTCTCTTATTTACTTCTGAGATGGCTGCTTCATTCTCAACAAAGTTTGTCCATCCATCCATCCATCCATCCATCCATCCATCCATCCATCCATCCAGTTTTTCAGTACAGGGGTAGAACCTAGGAGTGCTCTGCCACTGAGCTATATCCCCAGCCCACTTTAAAAATTTTAAATTTTGAGACAGGGTCTTGCTATGTTGCTCAGACTGGCCTCAACTTGCCATCCTCCTGCCTCAGTCTCCAGAGAGGGTGGGATTACAGACTTGGGCAACATCTCTTATTTTTTAAAATGCACTCTTCCATCCAGCAGGAAGAGAGTGCCTATCACTCAGGGTCTCTCCCAGAAGTGCCAGGAAACTGCCCCTCCCTACATGCCATGGGGGTCCTCCGGCCTCCGGGCCACAGTTTGGTTCACTAAATGACCACCCCCAGAAATCACCCAAGTGGATGCGACATTGGGACACGCTGATTGGCTAAAGCCACCCTGGTATCTCCGGGAGCTGGTAGGGTTGGCATGGGAAAGAAGTGGGTGCAACGTGCTAGGGGAAAGGGCTCAGACCTACAGTGCCCCTGTGGGGTCGCCATGGACGGGCAACTTCAGGGGCAGAGGGGGCAAAAGACCCACCCACCTCCCCTCACCCACCTTTCTTTGCAGCAGGGTCAGGAGCAGGTCGTAGGCCGGGCAGCAGTGAAAGGAGGCAGGAGGGAGCTGGGCTCTCCGGGGGATGACTCAGCGCTGGCCTCACTGCGACTGCTTGCCCAGTCGGTGTTGCGACCGGGTCTTTCCGGACCCAGGCCAATACCCCGTGCCCTGCCTCAGCCCACCTGCAGACCTTATTAATACTACAGCCTGCGCTTGTTAGGCGCCAACTGTGTGCCAAGCGCACTAACCCGGCTCCTGCCAGCTCTCTGGGGAGCACAGGACAGTGACACTGTGGGGCGGCCTGGCAGCACCCGCCAACCTGGGCCATTGGAAAGGGTCTTCAGGTGGGCATACCTGGGAAGGCCGGCCAGGTGCGCGCCCAGAGGGAAGAGCGGGCTCTGCTCACCCGTGCCTGGGTCCTGCCTGCTTGCTGGGCCGGACCGCCGGCTGAGGACAGCTCGTGCGGCTCGGCCCCAGGCTCGAGCGCGAGGGCAGGCGCGGGAGACGCGGCGTGGCGTGGACATGGTCGGGCCTCAGTGCCTCCGGAGACCTCGCTGGTGGCAGTGCCTGGGCTGCAGCAGAACCGAGCTGGCCGCGCAAGGCCGGGCTGGCGGGTTGGCAGTGCAGAGCGCCCCCTGGCGGCCCCTGCGCGCACCACGTCCCTGCGGGTCCAGGTCTGGGGAGGGCGTGGGAATCAAGGGCTCTGCTACACCAAGGTCTCTCTTGGCAGCTGCAACCACACAGCTTGCCCGTCCAGTGTTCACTATGGGCAGACAAGTCCAGCGAGTCTCCAAGGTCGCAGAGCTTCAAGGCATCGCCGAGGCGTGCAAGGGGAGGAGGGAGGCGGGCAGGTGGCCGCAGTGACCTAGCTTCCCCCGGCTCAGCACCCATTATATGCTCTGGTACAAGATGGCTTGGGCGAGGGAAGCCAGCAAGAAGAAGCCGAGAAGGCCCCACAGATGACCGTCCCACGCCGGCCTGCGGGAGGGGGAAGGGAAGGCGAGGCTGACTCTTAACACCGACCGTCCTTGGCTGGGTGCTTTGCAACCTCTGACCCCTGGGCCATCTGCAAAGCAAGACAGCAGCACCGCTGACTGCTGGTCTGCTTGGGCACTGAGTGCTCATAATTCAGCCCGGCCAGGTGACTTCACCCGGGGGTGCATGTATGTTTAGAACTGAGTTGGCAGCAGGTGGTGGAGGACATGGTGGCCACCCTTAAGGTTTGTGTGTCGGACCATGGTGAAGTGTGGCTAGGGGGGCAGGGGCCCGATTGTGCCCCCTCAAGTCCTTCCTGGACCCTTTGAGGTGGCTGGGTGGGGATCCAGAACCCCGAGCCAGGAGTCTGGAACAAAGCTGTCACCAGCAGTGGGGTGACCAGCTTCGGCCAAATTAGGGACCTGTGTAAGGGCTCAGCTCAGGGTGCTGGAAGCTGAGCAGGGTGGCCAAAAGTCCTCTGCCCAGTGAGCCTCAGTCCTGGTCCTTCCAGAGCTACCTTGCAAATACATTTAATTGAGAGCTTCTGAGGCTGAGGATTTAGCTCAGCGCACACCACCTACCTGTCAAGTACGAGGTCCTGAGTTTGATCCCAGGTACCAAAAAAAAAAAGCAAAAGAGCTTCTGGGGCCGCTTGCTTCTTTGTTTTTTATACAAGGGTGATCAAAATATAAGGTGGATGTTTAAATAAAAAATTGATTACAGTAAAAGACACATTGCCATTTTCCCTCTCAGAATCCTTTCCCTCACTTCAAACACACTTATTCCATCATCCTTACCACTTCCTGAAGCAGTTCTGGAAAGTCCTCTTTCTTCAGTGTCATTATGAGGTGTGAGAGAAAACATGGTGAATGCTGCTGCTTAGTGCCATCCAACAGAAAGGTAGGATCCTACAGGAAGGCAGCTTGTAAACACGAGAGAGTGTGTTCTCACCCAGCTTACTCAGCAGATCTGGCACTGTGACTTCTGGCTCTTCCCCAAGTCAAAATGATCACGAAAGGCAAATGTAGTGAATCAATTCAGGACATTGAGGCAGCCAGGACAGCACAACTGACACTCATGAAAGAGCTGCCTCAGAAAGGGACAAGAATGATGGGATAAGCGTGTTCCAACCAACAGGGAGGATTTTGAAGGTGATTCATGGCAATGTGTCTTTACTGAAATAAAATTTAAAAATTTAGACATTGACTGTATTTTTCAATCACATCTTGTACATAGCAAAGCTGTTTTGTTTTCCTAGTTGTTATAAGCATTGGCATGATTGATTTTTTATGTGTATAAATGTTTAAATTAGTGCGGGAGACCACGTACTGTTTCCACCTTTAAAATTTTTAAAAATTTTATTTGCAGTTTATGTAGTTTGTAATCGTCTTGAGGAATGGTTACATGACATATTAAAGCATCTTCCTCCCTCCTCCCCCTTCCCCTTCCACTCCTTTTCTCTTTCTGGGACTTCCTTCCATGGAACAAGGCTTCTCATTATTAGTGGAAGAAAAACCCAACTGATTCATCGAGACGCTGAGCAGCCCTGACTGTAATCGACAGTCGTGGTCAACAGATGGCGCTCACAGCACACTACTTGCATGGCGCGCTCGGGGGTGTGGGTGTGTGCGTGTTGGTGTGCGTGCGTGTGTGTGTTTGTGTGTGTGTGTGTGTGTGTGTGTGTGTGTGTGTCCTGCAGCGCCAGGCACCGCTCTGAGCAGGCCCTTCGCAAGAGGAGGGTCTCAGTCCAGTCCCGGGTGCCAAACCCTTTGGCAAGCACCCACGCGCAGCCCTTGCGTCCGCCGTGTGGGATGGGAACAGGCGGGCAGTGGGGCATCCAGGGTGAGGGCGCAGGGGGCCTCACCTGCCTCCGCCTCCCGGAGACGCTTTGGACACCGCAGGGTCGCGGCAGGGATCCTCAGATGGGCTTTCTTCAATGGGCCCAGCCAGATCCGGGTCCCGCTTGGGTCAGAATGCGAGTGGGCGGAGGCCAGCGAGGGGAGGAGGCTGAGCAGTGCCCGCCCCGGACATCGGTTCTGTAGCAGCCTGGTTGCCCGGCCTCTGAGGCCAGCGGGCAGCTGCGTGGAGGATAGCCACAGGTGGGTCTCTGCTTGGGGTCTGCGTCCTGGGTGGCTCAGGGGAAAGTTAACAGGTCTCCACTGGCCTGGAGGCTGAAAGGAGGGAGGGTCTGAAGGTGCACTTAAGGAATCTGCACAATAGGGAAACAGCCTAGATGTCCATCAATAGACAAATGGATAAAAATGTGGTGTATGTACACAACAGAGCACTACTCAGCCATGAAGAGGGATCTTTCCAGTCATTTTAGGAAAATGGATGCACCTTTGACCATAATGCTAAGTGAAATAAATCAGACACACAGTTTAAATATCACATTGCTTCTCTTATATGAAAAACCTGAAGTATAAATGATTTAAAAAAGCAAAATAAAGGAGAGAGGATAGGAAACAGGGAGGTAGACTTTTTGGAGATGGGGATGAGGAGAGGAGAAAGCAGGGGAGGAAGGGGTTAAAGATGATGAAGATAGGATGCATGTAATTTCCCAAGATGAATGTGATCATTCTGTATCTCAAACATATACCAAAAAAAGAGACATCTAGAAACAGGATGTTGACGACCCAGTGAGTCCTGGCGTGTGGGTACTGTGAGAATGGAGGCAGTGTGGATGGCAGGGTGGGGACACTCACACAGGGCGGTGACAGGGCCCGAGCACCACGACCCGGGAGGGGGTTGGAGCTTCGGCCTCCTGGGCACTTGGACCTTTAACTCTAGTGTTACATTGAAATCATCTGTTAAAACGTATTCTTTTTTCTTTTTGCAATACTGGGGATTGAGTTGAGGGGTGCTCTACCACTGAGCCACATCCCTAGTCCATTTTAAATTTCATTTCAAGACAGGGTCTCCCTAGGTTGCCCAGGCTGGACCTGAATTTACAATCCTTCTGCCTCAGCCTCCTGAATAGCTGGGAGTATAAGTGTGCACCATCAAGCTAGGATTTTTTTCTTGAATTAAAAATTTTGAACTGTTTCAAATCTAACTCATGGCCCTGTGCCTCTCTACCATGGAGCTACACTATCAGCCCCTGGACACTAGCTGAGTACAGAACGGTAGAGATTGTAGTATGAGTCACAGGTATAATTCAGAACTTTCTAGTAGATGCATTGAAAGAAGCAGGTGAAATTAATTTAACAACAAATTTTATTCACTACAATATATGAATGGTATGACTTCAACATGTCACTAATATATATGTATTTATTGAGACACTTTAATCTCCTTCTTTACACCAAGTCTTCTAGATCCGGGTGTATTTTCCATGTATCACACATTCTAATCTGGATGCTCCATTCCCACTGGAAACATTTCATCTGCATTTAGATTTCATGAAATTTAGAGTTGAAAGAAAAGATCTGCAAGTTGTTCCAAGCATATGTAAAAGTTTTAAAATAATTGGACCCTGTATCAATCTTTAAGTTAACATTGAATAAAATTGAAAATTTATCCACTCAGTGCTGCTATTTCATATGTTCAGTGGGAACAGATGGCCTGTGGTCCTATTGTGTTGGACAGCACAACAGTACGTGCTTAAAAGCCAGGTACTCATGTTAAAAATGTAAAAGTAAAAAGAAAAATGGAGAATGTATAACTTCCAAACCAATAGAGGGGGATAAAGACCAAAAAATCTTAATTCAACAGAAGGAAGAAAAAGAGAAAAAAAATAAAAGAAAAATCATGGTAAGTGGAACACAAAGCAGAAACAGGTATCAATAAATCAGTAATCACAGTAAATATAAATAAATTAAGCTCATCTGCTACTTTGAATTAAAAAGAAAACACAACTGAAGCTGTTTTCAGAGATGTACTTCAAATAAGAATACAGAAATATTGAAAAGAAACTAATGAAAAAGTACACCAGGAAAGTTACTAAAAGAAAACTGATGTAGCATAGTATATTGATATGAAGCAAGGTCAATTAAAGAAGGAGCTTTGCCAGGGAAAAGAATTGTCATCGTGAGATGATACAAGAGACAAGTCACAGGCAGAGAGGCCCAGGTCCATACCTCTGTATGTCTCCTGGAGGGAAAGGGAGGGAACACAGACATTTGGAAGATTTAAGACACCACTCTGAGACGACGAATCAGCCCGCTGTAGACAGGCAGGTCTGTGCACGCCCTACCGAGGTCCTGAGTCATGCGGAAGACACCGAATCACCCTACTGCAGACAGGCAGCCACCTGATTCCACATTGCCAAGGCCCAGAGGACACCAGACCACCAGACCA